GGGTGCCCAGCAGCCTCGCCTGCTCTTCAGGAGTTACAAGCCATGGGACGCCGTTGCACCCAGGAGCAGCACCCAGCTTTGCCGTGCCAACGCCGCAATGGGGCATGAAACCTCCCAAAGATACCTGGCAGGTGAAACATCCATGTCCCAAAGCTTGGAGGACTGTAGCCAGGGGGGTCATCCAAGGCCAAATGCTCCCTGCACGTCCCAGCTGAGGAGAAAAACCCAGCTGCAGCCCAAGTGACAAACGCGGGTGGGATTGCTCCTGTGCAGTCCCCGCCGTGGGTCAGCATCTCCAGTGTGGGAGCTGAGGGGCCGCCTGGCACTTCATTAACCTTGAAACCCTCTCTGGCTCACATGTCACGTCAGCCAGTGACAACAACAAGCTGCTATTCCAGATTAGAGAGAGAGAGGGACAGAGAGAAGTCAAGAGACAAGAGGGCTGGGGGCGGCCACTCTACCTATTACAGCCAAAAGTGGGCATGGGGCTATTTTTAGCCCGAAGTGGGATGTATTTATTGTTTCAGCCCATGGGAAGCGTGTGAGACATCTCTGAGCCTCCGAGACACCGCTCACGGCAACCGCGGCGGCTGCGTGAAGCCATGGTGAGTACCGAGAGCCCAAAGCTCCGTCGGGAAAAGGTTGTCACCAGGACGGCTTTAACGGGCAGGGAGAGATGGAGGTGATGGGATGTAACAGCCAAGGATCCCTCCAGCTCCAGAAACGGGAGGAACAAACTGGGGAGCATCTGGCTGCATCAAAAGCATCTCATAGGGAATGGAGAGGTGTCTCCCATGCTAGCAGAACTTTCTAACTGGGGCAGACCACTTTGGGGTCCAAATGCCATCGTTCTGCTTTCCCTTCCTCCATGCAGTGAGAGGAAGGGCTGGTGTGTCCCCCAAAACCCCCCCACTCTGCCTTCTCCTGGCCGAACCCCCCCCCATTTTAGGAAAAAGTTCCTGGAAGGTGGGAGGGTGAGTGGCTCTGTCCTCCACTCCCATTCAGAAGACCCATCCAGCTGTTTCTGGTTGTTCCAAGCCTCACTACAGGAGGAATCAGATGTTTTTAATAAGCAAATACTTTAAGAAGTTCTGTATTCTTCATGAAAGGCACAGAAAGGTAAGGAAGCACTTAACAACCACAGCCCTTGCGTGCAACCTCAGCAACGCTCCCAAATCCAGGTTTCCACCAGAGAAGATCTCACCCCCGTGCTGATCCTTTTACCTGCCGTAGGCTTTGGTGGGGAATTGATTTCCCAACTCATCTTTCCTTGGACCTATTTGCCTAAATTCATCAGGAAAACAAAGGTGGAGCTGTAATTTAAGTAGGAATCTTGATTTCCCTCAGTATCTTGGAGGGTCACATGTGCCCAAAGCTTCTGAGCAATGCACAGGAAAACCACCAAGGACCCAAGTGTGGTGGCAGGTCCAGCCCAGAGCTACCATGAAGGACTCAGTGACTAAGGAGAGGGTAGTTTCCTACTTTTATTCCACACCAGAAAGAGACAGGGAATTAGTGATACATCCTTGAACCCCTGCAGGCACCCAAAAAAGCCAAGAAGAGGATTGAAGGTGCTAATTCCAACGTCTTCTCCATGTTCGAGCAGGCCCAGATCCAGGAATTCAAAGAGGTAGGTGGGTTGGGTAGAAATGACTGAGGGTCCTTGATGAGATGTGACCTTCAGCTCTTCCCTCAGCGCTTTCAGATGGTGACAGCTGGTTTGTAACACGCCCGCTTTTGAGTTGTTGTATTTTAAAAGTGTGAATAACGACTCAGTGACATTGTTAAACACAGCGTCACCTCAAAGCTCCCCAGGAGCCCACACCCTGCAGAGGAGCTGGCAGCATCCAGGAGAGCAGGAGCACATCTCCCAGCCAGCTCCCAGCTGCCATGCCAGGAGCTCCTCACGACTTACCCCCTCCACGGCTCACACGTGGTCCTGTGTAGATCCCAGTTACAGAGATAACTGGTCCCAGTTAGAGAACTGATGGCTCAGGCTGTGCTCCCCAGTTGGTCTCATCCTGGGGTGCGAGGGCTTTGTCCAAGGCAGAGGGTCTGTGGGGTGTGAGGGTTTGGGCTGCCATGGGAAGCCCAAGGGCACAGGAGCCAGGATTGGTGCTGGACTGAGCTGTTGCTCCCTCGCTGGGTGAGGATCCCCAAAGCCCCATCTTGGGCAGGGCTCAAAGTGCCCTTGTCCCATCCAAGTCGAAGGGAGGAGGAGGAGGAGGAGGGTACTAAAGCCTTTGCAAAGCCCAGCAGCTCTCCCTGTGCTCCCTGCCCTCCTCCTGTGCTCCCAGGCGTTCACCATCATGGATCAGAACCGGGATGGCTTCATCGACAAGGCGGATCTGAGGGACACGTTTGCTGCTCTTGGTGAGTCCCCTTTTAGGACCCTCCCCAACAGCTTCAATGACATTAGACCTGTTATTAAACCAGCTGTGAGCCCTCGTTTGTCCAGGTTACCTGGATCTCCCATTTTGCTGAAGATCTCCTCATCCCAAATGACTTCTGTGAGATCCCACACGGGGTGACTTGGAGCAGCTCCCACAGCAGCGGCTGTTTAATCCCATAGGAACTAGAGATCCAGCTCCTGGATCCCACACAGCCAAATGCTCCCTGACTTCTCTCCTGCTAAGAAGCACCTGGCTGTGCCCACCCCACAGCATCTCTGGGTGTGTGGGCATTAGGGGGATTTATGGGATTTGTGGGAAGCTGTGAAGTTCTGAGCTTGGTTTTTTCATCACAGAGGTCAGCACGAAGCAGCAATGGGGCTGGGGAGTCCCAAAGACGACCCAACCTCAGGTAGAAGGATGGAGGCATTCAGTCCTGTTCCTTTCTGACACTGGGGGGCCAGAGGGAACCATGGTGCTGGTGGTTTTGACCCAAAACTTCTTCTGAGGAGGGCTGAAGCAGGCTGATCCATGGGACAGTGGGAGAAGGAAGCAGGACAGCCTAGTCCTTTGCAGCTCTTATTTTCTGTGATCCTGGGACCCCAGAAACCAGAGCTGGAGATGTCCAGCCCACATGATTCTCCCCTCTCCACTTCTGCTACTGCCATTTCTTGTCAGAGGTGGCTTCCTATGGCTGTGTCACTTCCCTTGGATGGGGAAAAAACCTCCAGGGCAAGGTCCCATGGTGTGTCCTTTAGCCCCTGGCCCATGGAGCAGAGCCTGGAGGTCTGCATGTGTTTGCAGCCAGTCAGGGACACTCGATTGACCCAACACCGCTCTCTCCTAGGGCGCCTGAATGTGAAAAATGAGGAGATTGATGAGATGATAAAGGAGGCACCCGGTCCCATCAACTTCACCGTGTTCCTCACCATGTTTGGGGAGAAACTCAAGGGTGAGAGGGCACCCAGGTTGCTGGGCGGGGGGGTTTGGTGGGTACCCATATGACCACCAATATCCTGTCCCACCTGGGGAAGCCACCCAATTCCTGGGGCCTCCATCACCCTTCCAGGTGAGACCCATCAGGTGTTCCTTGGAGGAGGCAGGTGGCACTGACTGCCATACTGCAGCGTGCAGAGCCCAAGAAATGGGTCAGAGCAAAGGTGCCTCCCGCACCACGGCCAAGAGGTGACACCTGGGGACACTTATGAGAGACCCGCGAAATGATCTCCCTCACCCATCCCTCCCACACCCCTTAGTGCCACCTTCTCCCAGTGGTAGCACAGGGACCTCCCAAAGACAGAGGTTTCAGTGGGACCATCACAACCCCTCTCCCTAGGTCCTCATCCTCCCAATCCTGGACTGGCCAAACCAGGGTCTGACTAGGTTTGGGTGCTCTCCTTGCCCCCCCATCCCAAGACACTGCAGATAGGACAAACGCAGTGTCATGTACCTCGAGCAACTGTCCCCAGGGAGGTCCCCATGCCCCAGAACTCACATTGACTTGCAAACCAACAGCCCCAAAGGCAGGGCTGGGGCTGCCCGTCCAGAGACCTGGGTCTCATCCCAAGTCTCTCCAACCTATTGGGGGGTATGAGCAGGTTCTCCATGCCTCAGTTTCCCCAGCCATTTAAAAAAAAAACCTCAAAACAACAGCTTATGATGCTGCTGTCCTCATAGAGAGAGAGGACAGGAAATCTCATGGCACCTCTGAGCCTGCTGACACCAATGGTGGCACTGATGGCCACGCTGGCAAGAGCACTGGCTGCAGCATGATTTTGACCAGAGGGCCCCGTTCTTCTACCCCCAGTATCAGTGGTGCAAGCGGAGGCATGCAGCCTCCCCCAGATCTCCCGGAGGTTACGCGGCCCCGAGGGCTGTGCCTGGAGCTCTATAAATACCCCCAAAAGATTAGATAGGAGCTGGATTCCAGGGCGGTGGTGACACAGCCTGCTTCACAGCACACCACCACCCTGGGGCTGCTCCTCTCTGTGCCACCACCCACACGCTCGAGGTCCCAGCTGCAGGGTCAGTGTTCCTGTGGGTCCCCCCACTTCCCAGCCTGGCCCTCCCATCATCCCCCCAAAGGCTGGGGGAAGCAGGAGGATGGAGCTGGTTTCTTCCTCCACCACCTCCAATGGCCGTGGCCATGTCATCTGCAGGTGCTGACCCGGAGGAGACGATCCTGAACGCGTTCAAGGTGTTTGATCCAGAGGGGAAAGGACTGAAATCTGCCTAGTGAGTGTGGGGGTGCCCGGGGGGGAGAGTGGGTGTCCCCACCGAGGCCTCCCTGGTGCTCACCAAGCTCTCTTCTTTGCAGCATCAAAGAAATGCTGATGACGCAGGGCGAGAGGTTTTCCCAGGAAGAGGTACGAGCTCCTTCCCACCCTCTGCCAGCTTCCCACGTCCTCCATCCCAACAGACACCCCCACCCCAGCCCCAAAACCTCTTCTGTGCCACTTTTTCCCCTGGCTCTTTCCCCGCAGGTCGATCAGATGTTCGCAGCCTTCCCTCCAGACATGTCTGGCAACCTGGATTACAAGAACCTCGTCCACGTCATTACACATGGCGAAGAGAAGGACTAATCCATGCTCGGTGCTGGGGCTGGCACCTCGAGACCCCCTCTCTCTAGGTGACACGGGGGGGTCCCTTTGCCTCTCCCCCTGGGGAACACATGAATGGTGTCCACATTAAACTGCCTTTGGCAAGAGGAAATCCAGCGGCCGGTGTGAGCAGTGCCTGGGCTGGTGTGTCTGTGCCCAGCGGAGCCCCCAGACCCATCTCAGACCCCGCTGCCCCCAGCCTCCCAGCCCCATTGCCCATCACCCTGGCATGGTCTCAGGTCCCTCTGCCCCACCATTTCCCACCCTGGCCCAGCTCCCAGCCCCAAACAGCTCAGTTGGCCCTGAGCTGTGGCTAGCAGCTATCTGGTCCCACCAGCCCAGGACCAGCCCTGAGCTTGGCTTGACTTTAGGCAGCAGAGAGTTGCTGCTTCTCCCAGCTGAGCAGGGAACACCCAGCAAGCTGTGTCCCCCCAAGACCCTCCCCAGGCCCCTCGGAGCAGGCACGGTGCAGGACAGGGACCGTGCTCCCCATCTCCTCCCTGGCGTTCACACGATGCCCGGCTGCAGGAGCGCGCTGGGTCGTGCGATGGGGACAGCATCCCGCCGGCCAGAGGCTGCTCCCACCCCGGCTCTGGCTGTTGTCAGTGATGGGTGAAGCCACCATGAAATATCACCC